TTTACTTTTAATAACATTTAATGAAAAATGACTTTAAATTTATATTCGAAAGTTTGAAATATCTATGTATTTATTTTTTCTTTTAATTAATACTCAAAAAATTTAACACTAATTATTGGCAAATCTAAGGCTGCTAAATAAAAATATGTTATATATTAAAGTGTACTTAAAAGTTTTTTATTTTATATTCATGAATTCATTTTATTTTTTGGCTCCCAAAGTAGTGGTTTTGGTCCATAACTAGACTAGTATTTTTCTGTCTATTTTCAACTAGTATGATACTGGTATATTTCTGACCGAAATCTGACAATTGCCATCTCGTAGGACATCCCCATGTTAAAAATACCAGTTGATTGTATGGAAAAAAGATAGTTGGCTGACTAGTTGGGCATGCGGTTCATACTAGTTGTGAGGTAGTTTACAGTTCATTTGACTACAGGGATACGTTGAAGTGCATCATTAGATTTCCTACCCATAAAAAGGACAGAAAATATATAATGTACGATCTACTACTTGTCAAATACATGCAAAGCAATGGATTTTCCCTACGAACCTTAATCAATTATTGGGCTCACCCGAGGTAAGGCATATTTATCACGGCTCATCTCTGGACCCACAATCAACATAGGCCACTCTAGTTTAAACTGGAAAGTACATTTATATCAAATAAAACACCTCTTTGAGGTAACATTTTCGAGTGAGGAAAGCTGAAATAGAAACACAAAATTTATGATAAATATCAATTTCGTGACAAGAATTATACGCATTTTTTAACTGCCTTGGAAACGTACGGAAAATCTTTTTTATTCATACGAATCGTTGCAAAAGTTCTGTTTTTTTATTTTGTGTTTCTAGCAGTAGACGGAATTTCACAATGTTCCGAATAAATAAAAAAAGATTTTCCGTACGTTTCCAAGGCAGTTAAACAATACGTATAATTCTCGTCACGAAATTAATATCATAAATTTTGTGTTTCTAGTTCAGCTTTCGTCACTCGAAAATTGTACCTCAAAGAGGTGTTTTATTTGATATCAATTATTTTGGGGTAGCAAATTTAAAATCGACCAAAATACAAACAATAATCCAAATGTTTTATTTTTCCCAAACAAATTGTTAAAAATGATATCTAAATCTAAATTATGTGTTCAAATCCATGTGTCCATTGAAAAATATAATTTTTCGAATACGGAATAAAGCGAAAAAGAACGGTCATATCCTTTGTATTCGAAAAAATTAAAAAAAAAATTGTGAGAAATGATAACAACGTATAAAATTGGTATCAATTTTGGATACAATAAACAACTGTATTCGCCTGATTGTCTCGTGGTTTAATTATTGTTAAGATTCCTACCGGGTGTGGGGCGCACACCTGTGCTTTTTTAAGAAGTTTTACTTCTATCACGTGTACGGAGTTGCACTCGTGCTATAAAACTAATGATTTTTTTTCAAGTAGTTTTGTTCAGTGGCAATTTATAACTTTTATTTAAGTAGAGCGGCACATTGGGTGAACTAAATGCATTTATACATACATATTTATGTACAAATGTACAACTGTAGGTAATATTGTATGCGTCTTCCCAGCTAGGTTAAGTGCGGGTGATAAACCCATGTAGCATAGTTACATACTGTGTACATACCTGCAATTAAAATTGCGAAAAATGTTAAAATTTTGGCATGCGACTGAAAAAAAACCCTAAAATACACACAAATTGTAGTTTCGATGACATGTACGAAAGGATTAGCACAGCTGCACCCTTCAACTTGTCAACTCGCGGGAAATTCCCCGATTTGCAGGGAATTTCGATTTAAGTGGCAATCGGGGAATGGCCACTTTTTTCGGGGAACTGGGTATATGATTTTTGTATCTTAAAGTAACTAAATTAGACGGATATGTTAATTTTAACCATTTGACCCTTTTTGGAGCGACATTTTTTCAATTTGAATCGTAATATATCCACAAGAATAGTTTTCCCAGATATAGGCTACATACAGTATATTTTGCTTAGCTGCACATCCTTCTTTGAGGAAGGTATCCAAATCCCTATGAAACCAAATATTGGCGGAGCCCTTACCATGTAGAAATTACTGCAAGCGAAATTTTTACCGATTGCTATCTAATTATCTATATAACTACATAAATTAATAGCAATTTTCGTTGTTCTGCGAGATGAACAAAATAGGGCCAGTGCAGGTAAACGTAATACTTTCATTGATAATTGATACTAGTTGGACAATTTTTAAGACAGGTATCGCCAATGTGCAGGTATGTTGAATGCATCTATCAGAGCAGTTTCCTTATAAATTTTAAAAATAATGCCTCTGATGTGCATTTTGGGGTAGGTACCTTAAATGTGCACTTAAGTATAGAGGCAGCAAAGCAAAATATACTGTACCAGAAGAGAGCTAAGGTTTTGGGCTAGACTTGTGGAAACTTAGAATAAAATCGACTGACCAGTTTTTGAAAAAAATGCCCGAGTTCTCTATTTTCAGCAGCCCGATTTTTACTTTTCAGGCGATAACGTTATGACATATTTATATTTTATAAACGCAAAAGACAGCGTTGATAGCTTGTTTTAAGACCCTTCTACTGATATCCACTTCAATGGTATGGAATGAGTAGTGCGACCTCAGTGGTAGTTTAAAAATTGCCTTTTTTCGAATTTCAGGCACCAGCCACGCCCACAAAGGCCTACGAATCGAAACATCCTGGAACAAAACCTTCTTAGTTTTTTGGTACTTTAATTCTTGAAAGTTTGAAAAAATTAAATGAAGGTACGTTCAGACGCTACACATATCGCAACGTATCTCGTAGTGGAGACACGAACCAAAACACATTTAGCTCTATATCTTTCCAACTAGTAGCCAGAACTTAATATATAAGGTATCGTTTGAAAGGTATTGGCCTATAGAAAAACACTAAATACATTTGGTGCATCCACATACCCCCTTAAACCTGAAAAAGCAAAAAAAATATTTTTTGTTTCGCAACACTGCAGCCTAATTTTTAATAATCCGGTTAATCGTTTATGAAGCTTGAATACATTTTCTGGACGCACTCTGCAGGACCTTTCCAACTATACCTCAAAAATGTCGATGAAAGTCTGGATAAAAACTTCCAAATCTCGTGTATATATAAGCGAGTTATTTCAGCATGCTACTGAGGCTGCTTTCGTCACTCGCGAGCACTGCCGTACGCTGTGATCAGGATCATCTATTTAGCCTAGACTTAACCGGTTTGTCCAAACCGGCTACGGAAAGACCAGTTTATCTTAGGCTAAACCGGTATATCCTATTGCGTGTTGGTAAAACTAGTTTGGCCTAGGCAAAACTAGTTTGGCCTAGGCAAAACTAGTTTAGCCATAAGATCGGGTTTGGCCGGTAACATATACACATTTGAGAATGCATTTTGCTTGCCTTTTTAAGATATTTGCCTTTTTGCCTTTTCTACCATTAAAAAAAGTGATTATAGCATTTAAATTTTGTTTTTGTTAATATTAAAAAAATAAATGCCCAGATTCGAAAATAGTGCTACGAAAATTAGTATGTATAGTAAAACGCAGTGTGTAAGTAGTAGTGAAATACTTAAGCAAACATTAATGGTGATTTCGTTTCTCGCAAAAAATGTTTGCCTTCCACGGTGCAAAATATGTTTGATGTTACACACCCTGTAAAAGGGCATGTTTTTGCCTTCTTGCCCTTGTCTAGCTCCCTCATTGGATAATGTATTCGTTTTAAGCAACCATATGGTTTTCAGGGCAACGATCGCCCCTGACAAAGGGCGGAGAATGTAGCTTTTTTGCCTCACATGAGTATGATATTTTAAAAAGCTAACACAAAATTTATTTTTGATTACATTGAGAAGCGGCTTATAGAGGCGCGGGGACCTATTGCCAAATTGGTGCTGGAAAATTTCAAAGCCGTTTTCTTAGCTAATGTAGGCTTGGAGACAAATTGGGGTGTGGATAAAATTGTTAAGGGCGAGGAAAAATCCCTTATTCCTGAAAATATGAAAGTTGTAAACGTTCCATATTTAAACTGGGCGCCACTTGTATCAACTCACGCCGATTGCTCGTTTAGTATATTTAAGGCTTATCTTCGCGAAAATCAAATGAAAATGCTGCCAGAAAAATTCAAAATGCATCTAGTGTTTCAATGTTACTACAAATATTAGATATTTAAGTTTTGTTAGTTAAAATTTTTTTGATTTTCTTTCAGTTTTTGTCTTTCTTAGTCCCTTTTTTGCCTTTTTTGCGACTTCTAGTGCCCTGTTTCTGAATTTTTTGCGATTTCTAGTGCCTTTTTCTGCCTATTTCTATATTTTATTGTGCCTTTTACAGTCTATTTCGTTATTTTACTTTGCCTTTTTTATATGTTTTTAGGTCCTAAAAATCCGTTCCCTGGTAGTTACACATTTCCGTGCTGCAGCTCAACGCAAATTCGAAGTTTATTTAATAAAAAGGAAATTATGAAACATATTGAAATTTAGTTCAATAGAAAAATTATTACTCCTTCTGGAGGCACTAATAGCACCTCATTTCTCCAGTTCGGTCGGAGAATGCATATAAGTAAAAACTGACCACACAATGGCACATATTTTGCTTCCGAATGGATCCCTTTCATATTTTCTAAGCTGCTGTTGCTGCCAACTAAATTTGCATGTACCTATTCTATTTTTTTTTTTGCACTAGCTCGCGAATCCACGAATTCATAAATTTTCAGATTTTCAGCACCTACTTGGGCCACATTCTCTATGTAAAAGCTGATAGTTTTAAGACTTGTTAATTACACAATTATTTATTTCTTTACTGTGCCCATTCAAGAGACCCAAATTTAGAAGTACATTTTTTGTATTCTTCAGTAAAAGTTTACATAAAAACAAGCTTCCTTCTTTCCAATTTTCTTTCAAAATATGTAGATAATATCTCAAAATGAGAAGTTTCCCTGAAGAATGCTAGTAAAGACATATGCACGGTTCTTAAAAAAAAACATAATATACCTACCTAACGCTCTGACTACGTTGCTCGAATAGACAATAAAGCTTCTCTGGGCACATGTCGAGCATGTGGGAATAGACAACGTCTATTAATTCGGCTGATACTTTAAAGATTTCCTCGCAATGATCGATCATAATTCTGAAAGAACATATGTATATATGCATATATTTTATTAAATAGAAGTTATAAATAAATTGCGTTAAAGTACCTGATCACATTAATTGCATCACTCATAGATTCTTGCTCGTTGCTGTAACCACAAGCTGCTACATCTGCGGTAGCGGTTGAAGAGCTTTTTAATGTTGTACGGAGGATGTTTGGCGCGAAAACGGTTGCCAAATTATTGCTGTCCATCTTGTTGCCACTAATTTGAGTATTACCGTCGTGCCCAGCTATATCATCTGAACAGGAAGCCACTTTTGCTAAGAATTTTAATAAAACATAAAGCGTATCACGATGAGCTACTGGAAGCAGCTTTACCAAATGCGAGATCGCCTCCAATTGCAGACGTCGATTACGTATTCCTAGAGATGTGAGGAATTTTAATTTAAGAAAATTGCAACAAGAAACATACTACGGAAACTAGTGATGGCACGATGAATCGAAAAACTTAAGATCGTTTATTTGATTTCACTTAACTATTTAATTGTATCGAAATTTTCCTTTTAATCAATAGAAGGATTATCTGATTAATTTTCAAAATAATCGAAAAATCTATTTTTTCCAAAGCGGGTGCAATCACAATGGAAAAACGGAATAGACTACCGCTGAAGAAGTCTGATGAGGAGGTATGGTGATCTCCGAAACAGCTATCACTCCTACTATTTATAAATTATTGTTAATTTTTCCGCAATAGTTTTCATTAAAAAATCGGCCTCAAGCTCAATACAATTGTTATAATTATAAATTATAACCTTTAGGGCAATTTAATCAAAGCCTGGTTGACAGTAATCTCCCGTTAAACATCGTTATCTACGTCTTTGACTCCATGCATATAACAGGCTGTCGGTAACGTCGATAAAGATGTTTAACCGGAGATTAGTGTCAACCAGACTTTGAGTAAATGACCCTTAGGGCCGGTTACTCAATGTCTGGTTAACACTAACTACAGGTTAAACAACGTTATCGACGCTACCGATTGCCTGTTGTATGCATGGAGTCGAAGACGTCGATAACGATGTTTAACCGCAGATTAGTGTTAACCAGACATTGAGTAACCGGCCCAGGATTCGCCTAACCGTGCAAACTTGCGATCTTTAATTAATAAAGTACCAGAAAATTCACGCATTTCTTTTGCTACTGTCAAATATCCTTGATAAAGCACTAAATATATGTCAATGTGAGCTTGAACGTTTGCTTTTTTTTTATTGTACTCGTATATTAACGTCAGCGATGGGCACCGCCTTTCTCGCGGGCAAAGCTCTTTTAAGCTTTATATAGATTTTGTATAGGTGCGAGCAGAGTAAAAGCCCTCTCTGCCCAACGCTGATGTTGTTATTTCAGCCAAACCATCCTGCAAGACAGCTGAGTATCATATGAGTGCTCATATTATCATTATCACTAATTACAAAAATGCTTATTAAAGTATTCATTTTTGTTTAGACCATGGGAAACAATTAAGTACTTTCCTCTCAATGTTGTCATCAGAAAGTCCTCAGTACTAATAGTCAAACTACTCATTTATGCCATACTACAAAAACAAAAGTGTAAATGTCTTAGATTTTTTGCCTAAAGTGCTCAGCAATGTCTTGTAGGTATGCTGTTATCATCATGCAGCATGATTCAATAATAGAAAGGTTTTGTAATAAAACGGCTCCTTTACAAGTGCAAAATGTGTCTCACTCTACAGCTTCTAAGTTATATTAGTAGTAAAGCCTAAACTTCTTCATACAAAATATTTATTGGCATCACCTTCGTTTGCTTAATTTGCTGGAACAAGTCCCGTTCAGCTATACAATAAGCAGAAACGCCGATTGATAGAAATTTTTAGACTGATTTCAACCATACCAAATTTATTTTTTATTTGGCGTAGGTAAAAAATAAAGAAGATGTAACAGGTTTATTTGCTTTGTTTATTTGTATTTTTTATTATCACTAAATTCTTGAAACCCGAAAGCAGATCATCTAAAATATATACATACATATATCAAACTAAAGGTTATAGCTTGTACTTTCTAAATGAAATAATTTTCTTTTAGCATTAAGCATAGTTATTTTTTTTTTTAACAGGTTATTTCATGAACAAATAACATTGTTTTTTTTAAAGTATTTTTGGCTTAAAAATAAAAAAAGCATATAAATAACGCACATCAGCTGAATGATAAACTAATGATCATAAGTTTGACCGCGGATTTTGAGTAGCAGTGAATTTGCAACTGACTACGTTGTAGCTTAAGTTGTAGCTGCTGTATATCAGATAACCCACCAGGCCAGGTACCAGGTTAGGTACTCCTAATGTTATTCATGCCAGCATATATGCTTTTGTTAGTTTGACCGCAGGTACTACAAAAACGTATTGCCTAGTCACGTGCATTTTGAGTAGCAATGAATTTGCAACTGACTAAAGAAGGTGGAAAGTAGGAGAAGCCGAAGTAATAAATTGATACGAGTTGATAACAAAGTTAGGTAGTGAGCAGCTACGTACTCAGTCTCTTAAGTTGTAGCTACTGTGTATCAGATCAGATGAACTATCACATGAAAAAAGCAAGTGTGTTAGCAGGGACGCACGATCAAATACGAACGATTTCACTCTATTGCTTTTTGTACCACACAAAGTCGTTTATGCGAAGGCAGACATCGCTGTGTGTTAGTCATGGGGAATAGTCATGGAAGTTGTTATGCTCCGCAGATGAAAAGTCAGGTGGAAAGTATTAATAATTTGCACTTTTTGGCGGTCTACTGGGTTTGCTTCCACTTATGTACGCCCGCTTATATTTTTCAGTCTTTCAATAACCCACAAATTAAGACACTTAAAAATAAGTCCCTGGCAAAGTGTCTTTGCCTAAGGGAAATTTAAGCAGTTGATAAATAACACAAAACACAAAAGGATCGCACAGAGTGATTTGACACGGCGAGAAACACTCTTTGCTTGAGAGATGAGTGTTTGGGTCAGTGGTAAGCTCCATAAAAAAACAAGTAGAGAGGGTTATTTTCGATCTCTGATATTAATATTAAAAAAAAATTAGCTTTTTATATCTTCTATATGTTTTACTTGCGCCAAATAATTTTGGTATGGTCGAGATGAGCGTGTAAAATCTGTTCGATTTTGCATAGCTAAACGGTCGGTATTCTAGATTTGTCCCAGGAAACGTTACATTAATTTAATTAAAAAGGCATAATTTTAAGTATTGTTGTTGTCGAAATTCGACCACTTCACTTTTTCATTTTGCTTGTTACCCTGTAGGGAAACGAACTAGTGCGGAACTGGTTCGGTTCTTGTGCGTTTGGAACCATGACTAGTACGCGTTAATTCTCTTTTGCATGCTAGCGACTGGCGACTTGGCTCTAGTTCCGAACCAGTTCTAAATTCGACAGATAAGATCTAGTTCGTTTTGTATCCCTTTTTCTATAGTTCCGAACCAGTTCCAAATTCGACAGATGAGATCAGGTTCGTTCTGCATCCCCCTTTCTTTAGTTCCACACCAGTTCCTAATTCGACAGATGAGATCTAGTTCGATCTGCATCTATTTTTTATAGTTCCCAACCTGTTATAAATTCGTCACCTTAGATCTACATTTCTAATCAGGCTTGTCGAAACATTTCCCTTTTATATCAAATACGATCGGTTTAAGGAAGGACAATACCATCACAAATGTTTAAACGCATTTATTAAAAATTTATAAACCACATTAGTAGTAGTAGTAGTATTATACTTAACTAGTAAGTAAAAAACAAAAGTGCGTTCTGCTTAAAAGTAAAAATATTAGTTCACTTTGTCTTACTTGTCTAAATTTAAGCATATTGATTTTAAGTAAATTCAGTTCTTTTTAAGCTGTATATGAAGTACTTCGAAAGTTTTTGTAGTACTTAACTGAGATAAGGTATACAGTTAGTCAATAAAGTTTAGGTACAGCGAAGTTTTTACAATAACGGCAACTATTTTTTAAATGTTTTATTTTTCCCTAATTTTTTATAAAAACATTTTTAATTCTACACCAAAATCCCCAAAAATCAGAGTTCCAAACCTTATGCAAAATTAAAGAAAACTCTGCAAATTTCCATCCAAATATTGCAATTTACATTTAGAAAAAAGGTAAGTACGCAGTTTTTAGCCCATTTAATTTTAGTATAACAAAGTGCAAGTTTGAGGTAGCTAGGACTTACCATTAATATTTAGCAATTTTTTTTTTGTTTTTTGGTAAGTCCTAGCTTCCTCATACTAAAATCGAATGGGCTAAAAACTGCAAACTCAACTTTTTTCTAGAGAGCGTAAATAGAAAGTGAATTATTTTAATGAAATTTTGCAGAATTTTCTTAAATTTTGCACAAGGTTTGGAACTCTGATTTTTGGGGATTTTGTTGTAGAATTTACCATATTTTGATAAAAATTACCGAAAACTAAAATATTTAAAAAAAAGTTGCCCGTATTGTAAAAAATTTGTTGTACCTAAACTTTATCGACTGACTGTATTAAGGTAGCTGTGCTGGATTGCATAAAAAAAAAATTAGTTTGTCTTTTCTTAAAAAAATAGGTAGCTCTGGTGGCTTGCATTTTTAAATAAATTTAGTGAGAAAGTGGTAATTATCTTGACACTTTTTTTAAATGCCTCTTTTTCTGCAACTGGCTTGCCTTTCTCAATTGTCCTTCAGGATCTTGGCCTTTGTTTATGGAATCACTAAGTATAATGATTATTAAGCAACTCAAAAACTATACCAGCATGATTACCGACGTATCCAGCTCTAAAAGTATTCAACGCGGGTCGCGATGGTGGAAGAGGAAGTCCCCACTGCGATGGAATGCCCAAGTGGAGAAGGACTTTGCTTCACTTGGCATTTCCGTTAGGCGTCAGTTTGCACAGAAGAGAAACGACTGGAGTACTGTTTTGTACGCGGCCAAAATCGCGTAGGTGGTCATAGTGCCAAAAACGAAAAAGAAGAAAAACTTTGTGCGTCCCAGATGCATTTGGACAGATATGCGACCATTGTAATTTCTCTTAAAACAAAACCATTTGTGTAAATCCTTTTTGCGTACTCGCACTGTTTTAAAGTTTGCCGTTCTCAAGTCCGGCTTCTATTTTTTTTATCTTTACTTTTGCTTTCATTTTGACAGTTGATTTGTTTATTTTAAAGTCATCATACATCACTTTAACTGAAACACCACTTTTTAGTTCTTCCATAACACTGTGGCATGCATAAACAAAGAATGTTGTAGATATTGAGATTATTGAGGTTAGGAAATGAGAGTTGCGTTTATCTTGTATACACTGTTTTTAGACCTTAAGTCCAGATTTGGGGGGGTATTCAAAATTCTAAGTATGCATATTTTTTGTGCTTCACTAGATCTATAACTTTAGCAGTCACACAG